ATCGGTAGAGCGTGAGATTCATTGCAACCGAGATAGGCATAAACATCGAATACAGAGAGCCAGAGAATCCTCAGAACGAGTTTCCAATTCATGGGTAAATAAAGAAAATGCTGACATTAATTACGTTCCTTCGAGTTCTTACAAGGACGATCGAATATTATCAAGAGGTACTATGTCAGTAGTGTGTGAACATTGCTTGGCATTAAACTTCAAGGACGAAACGAAAGGCATGCGTTGCTTACAAGGGAAAATTAAATTAGAAGAAATTCTCCTTCAACCTAAACCACGTCACTCTCTTCTTACGGGTGATCATCAGAAATCCAAGCAATTTATGCGCAGCATACGCCGTTATAATGACCGTTGAGCGTGGGTTCAGGCCTGCATTTAAAATTCAAGGGTAAGTGTACCACTTAGCTAGGAGCTTACTACCACTTCGACCCGATGATCACAAATTTCAGAAAATATATTGTATTGCAGATCCAGATACACTGCGATTGAGAGTGTTCCAGCAGATACTCCTGACTTTAGTAGCAGTGGTGATAGCTGAACAGCAATTTGACCAAAAAGATATTGTATTGCATAGTCGTGATGATAATTTGCAAAAAATTTCAGAGTTGCACAGATTTTATAACAGCTTACAATATCCTTTGGTGCTATGTCGTAGAGAAAACGATTATGATATTAATATTTCTCATGTTGACCAAATCGGTAGTACACCTCTGCGTATAACAGTGTCATGTATGAACTACTATTGCTACCGTATAATGACAAGACGTAACAATTTCAACACTTTGCTTAGATATGGATTGTTAACAAACCAATAACCGATAGTTACGTTCAGGATGCTTTACAGGCAAATTAACACCGCAACGGCATTGGGCAGTTGGTTATACTACCTTCATCATTTACAGGGCACCGCGATAGTTACACGAAAAATCGCAAGGCGCCATGACTTACGGGCCGCTGTCAGCTAATACTACTATACACAGGAAAAATATCATATAATCAAACGAGACTTTTACAAAATATAGCTCAAGATGAGCCACGATTAAACATCGATCAGAAAAAAGTATTCAATGCAATGAAGGGAAAGTGCTTTTCCTTGATGTCCTGGAGGCACAGCAACAAAAAATTCGCCTACGGGTGGATATACAATTCTGTTCTCAGGAGATTTGCGTCAAATCCTACCAGTAGTGACTCGAAAAACACGTGCTGACGAATTATTATATAAATGTCAATAAATTAGAGCTTAAAACTAATATGAGGGTTTCGTCATCTTCACGTGAGGCTATTTCCAGGGATGTTGCTCAAAGTTGGCAATGTCGAGTAAACACAAAGTGAGGAAGGGATTAACATACAAAACCTTTGTGTTTTGATAGGCAACATCCAAGAGTTAGTCAACAATGTCTATCCTGACATTGATAACATATAATAAGTTATAAGACAATATCTTAGTCTAAGGAAAGAGCGATTCTGTCTTAACTAACGAACAAGTAAATAAGGTAAATAACTTGATTCTTTCAAAGTTTGTTCCGACGACGAAAATATACTACTCGGTCGATACTGCTTTCGATTTGGAAGAAGCTGTTCCTTTTGTTACATAATTTCTAAACTCCTTGAACCCGTCTGGATTCCCTGCTCACAAACTGGTGTTGAAAGTATGTTGTAATGTTATTTTATTAAGCAACTTGAATCCACCTAAACTTTGCAAAAGCACGCGTTTGCTAGTAAAATCACTGAAAACTTTCATAATAGAGTGTTCAGTACTCACAGGATGTGTTACCTGAAAAGATGTATTGATTCCCCAAGTCAGATACCATAGGATTAACCCTACCAATTCAAACGTTTACTATTTCCGGTATAGACATATTTTGCAATGACCATTAATAAATCCTCAATAATAAAACCCTCAACGTTGAAGGCTTAGATTTTAGCGTTGACTGTTTTTCACATGGCCAACTGTCTTACTTACTACTCTTTCAAGAGTAACCTCTAGAGAAAATATGTTTGTATTGTCTAATGACAAGACAGCTGTGAACGTTGTATATGACGATATTCTCTAAAATATTAATTGGTTTAAAAATAAAATAAATAGGTAAAAATGTAAGAAGTAAATAAGTAAAAATGTAGTGTATGAATTTAGATATTCTAAAGATAGCAGGATTCATGATATAAGGAAAGTGGAATTGTTTTACTCCAAATTTGACGCGTGCGGGCTCCGGGCAGTTATGAATAAATCAAAACTACTGGATCCATTTTAATAATTTTTTCAGTGAGTGACATAGGCTTTATATTTTATACCCCAGCGAAGGCGGAGCGGGCCGCTATGTTTTTATATACAACGTTCACAGTTTTTCTGTAGTGTATTTATTATAAGCATTGCACCCGTGCAAAGCCGGGGCGGGTCGCTTGTTAAATCAATAAATATAGAATTGTATTTGAACCAACAACATATGTATGTATATATGACCATACATTGTTCTTAATTTTTTATTTATTTATTTATCTTTTATTAAATATACCGGCTTTTATTTACCGAACCGTTTACATGCGAAATGTTACGATTATTTTTCGTATGGTTTGTATGTATGTAGGGTATACAAGCAAAAACAGATTGTATGCCATATGTTAATACAGGGTGACTCACGAATCGTGCTACACAAACAAACCGTTATAACTGATTTTAATCAACGCATTACTTAAGGGTTAAAGTCGGGATTGCCCCAATTATCGATTTGTACACTTCTTGCTTGACATAACTCCATAAAAGAAGTCTGGTGCAGTCAGATCAGGTGATCTTGGTGGCCAGCGAAAAGTGGAGTTTCTTGATATTAAATTGTTTTTTTTTAAATTTTCATTGAAGCTTCCCAATAACCGCTCTGAATGTGTGTGCAGTTGCTCCATCTTGCTGAAACAAAACGCTGTTGAAAGCGATACGCCTTCGGCACAATTCTAGGTAAAAAAAAAACTCACTCAACATGTTTAAATAACGGTGGACATTGACAGTTACTGTTACACCGCTTTTTTCAAAGTAGTATGGCCCGACAATACACATTGATGAAACTGCACACCACACAGTGACTCGTTCTGGGTGAAGTATACGGCAATTTTGGTTGTTTTTATTTCCGTTTAGATCAAAATGGGACTTATAAAAGATAAACATGCAATTTATCAAGTTATTGTCTTCTGTTGCCATTCCAATGATTTTGTGGCAAAATTCCAGGCGAATAGGCAAATCTAGAGTTTAGTCATCATGAATTATTCGTAGTTATGACCGTCTGCTAATTCCAAGCTGCGCCGATAAGTTGCTAGTCGAAACTCTTGGATTTGCCTGAATTGACGATGCCACGATTGTTTCTGGAACACAAACATACTGAAAAGCATGGTACCGCTGCACTGTCCAAACCCTCTTCTCGGTATCCCGATAATCAATTTTCAAATAAAGTAAAGTAAGTCGATTACTCAAACAGAAAAAACGTTATGACGGTTTGTTTTTGCCACCCTGTACATATATTACAATAAACTGTTTTCCGCAATTTGATTTCGTTATTTAAGACAATAAGTTTTACCAGTTTGGCAACCGTTACTGAAATATTAAACGTTTACATACAAACATATTTATTATGCACATAGATTAGTTAAATGCACCTAAGCAATTGTAAAAGACCCAGCATTGGTATCTGAAGTTTGAATTTAGAATAGAATACATATCTACACATATGTACACCAATCACACATATTTACATTACATTCAGCAAATAAAATCAGATTTAAAATTAAACTTTCAATATAAATGAAAGCCGGAATAGCAAAGCCTGTCCCGATTTATAAAAATACATATTTTAAACATAAGGTAAAATATGCAATTTTCCTTGAAAAAATTAAAAAAGGGCACTACAACACGATCAGTGTCTAATATAAATCTATAGAAAATTAAAATTCTAATATTTCATGGATAATTTTTAAAAAAAGATAATTGAACGACTATCGCAAACAAACAATGGCGCAGTGTATTAACCGTGAAAAAAGGTTCGATACAAATGACAAGCTAAAAAAATAAAAACCATTTATAGAGAAAAGTAAGCAAAATCCAACTCTTACGGAAAAAGAAGAAAAAAAGTATGTAGCCGATAGCGATCAGCCAATAAGTACGGCACGCGAAGCTGCTAAAATGGAGAATCATGTCGCGTCTGTTACAGCAAGAAAGATTTTATCAGCCCTTTCAAAGTTATCAATAAACAAGCAATATGTAGCTGTTAAATTGATTTTTATAGGTATGGCCGACCGTGTGCATTGTCCTAAAGTATTTTATGACAATTGCTTTGGAGTTGAAAACACAGTGTGAAGATACTGAGCATAAATTGAGAAAGAAACTTTGAAGCAGCAAAAATTAAGTACGACGTCCGGTTGCTTATATTGTCATAGATGCAACACAGAACTCTGATCCCCATGATAAAAAGCCAATGACGATGTGGAATTTAAAGCCTTCAACGATGGTTGTATAACAGCAGAAGACGACTCAGTTAATTCTGATTCTGGTACCACAACCAAAAATAATCGTTCTCAACATGGTGCTGGTGGCAGATGAAGTAAACGAAAATCAGCGACCGCGGCAACACCGGGCCCAAAAGTCAACAGAACGCGCAATACAATCACCCACTTTATTTAAGGACAAAAGCAGTGAAGAGAAGTATATTAAGCCACAAATAAAGAAACGTAAAATCAAAGGTACGCGGCTGTATGATCAGAAAGAAGAAAAACCGACAGAATGCTCTTGCGACGAATATGAACAAGTATTTTTTTTTCATAAATGTTTCTTAAATTGAAGTATTTTCAAAACAGGAAACGAAGACCATTCTGGAAACACAATACAATATTAAGCAACAAGAACTTATTGTATTAAAAAGGTTTATAGTGAGGATCCAATTGGTAAGTATGGTTATGTTAAAATTTTTATAATGGAATATCTTGCATACTATATACTAATATGTTACGAATAGCTTTAGGGTTTTTGCATTACAAGTTGATGTAAAGAGCAGTTGAACTGAACTATTTGAAATCGTGCAGAAGTTCCGGGTAAAACAGGTATGTACATGGGGTCAAGCGTTTTTGTGTATCAACTAGATAGAAAAGTGAATATTTTGGAAATATACTGCTTTCTTTTGTTTTCTTTGAAACACAGAAATTAAAAAAACTATAAGTTTGAGGGGTGTAATATTTATTTAGGTGTTTAATTTATTTGTTAAAGTTTCACTACCATTATTATTGATTGCGGCTGCATGTACCTTATTTTTTTAGTTTCCACAATAGTGATAACCAAAGAAATGGCGATTACGTCCCCACACATTTGAACTTTCAAAAGGATAACATAAACTTGGTTTGAATCAAGAATAATGTGGGCTTGATGACTACCATATATCTAAGTACAGGAACAAATAAAAATATAATTAATAAAATAAAAAAATATTAATATAACTCTTTCACAGATTTAGCTTGTGTGGGTCACCAGAACCTCGTAGGTTTTACCGATAATATGATCAAAGAGTTCAGAGAGAACGGTGGTGCATTATCCGTACTGGAAATCGAGTGGGATAAATTGTATGGCGAGCGTTTAAAAAATATTCAAGCTGTCATGTTACTTTTGTTTAGTATTGTTTGGTATTTCATTATGGAACGACTTACGCCTGAGCAACGTTTACAAATATTCAATTCATGGTAAACATAGTCGACCTACTCAGCGTACTATTCGCAACACCATCTTGAGACCCAGCATTCATTATTGGATAATATTCGACCGAATAGATCACGTCCAGCACTCAGTGAAGAATATATAGCGGCCGTAGCTGAGAGTGTACATGAAGACCGTGGAGAGTCGATTCAGCGCCGTTCGTAGCTACTCGGTCTGACGTATGGAAACGCATTTTACGTCGAGAGCTTAAATTGAAAGCGTACAAAACATAGTGTGTGCAATAACTGAAGCCGCTCGATCTTCCCAAGTGACATCGCTTCGCACTTTGAGCCCTTGAAAAGTTCCAAGGGCATCCACTTCCCACACATCGCCGCAATCAATGGACTTATTGAGAAAACACTTCGGTGAGCAGATGATTTCACGTTTTGGGTCGGTTCCTTGGCCACCAAGATCGTATGATAACATACCGTTAGACTTTTTCCTGTGGGGATATGTAAAGTTTAAAGTCTAAGCGGACAGTTCCGCATCGTACCAAGCCTTGAAACAAAACTTCACGTGTGTCATTCGCCAGTCGAGAGGCTCGAACAAGTCATCGAACTGGAACTGAGACGTAGCCGCAGCCAACATTTGAAAGAGATAATCTGCAGAAAATAAATACAAAAGGATGTTCTTTCGAATAATAATAATCAGTCCATTAAATTTGAACTTTCTGTATTTTTTCTTAAAAAAAATCGAAATGGATCACCCTTTATATACATAAATTATCAGCATGATAAGCTGAGTTCACTTAGCCATGTTCATCTGTCTGTGTATATACGAACTGGTTCCTCAGTTTTTAAGCTATCAATCTGAAATTTTGCACCTGTTCTTTCCTCACTAAGAAGCTACTCATTTGCTTGAATGGACTGATATCGGACCAACTATATGTTAGTTGCCATACAACCTGAACAATCGGATTCAAGTGCTTGTATGCGAAACTTTTTTATTAAACGAAATATCTTCACGAAATTATGCATGGATCATTATTTAAGACAGAAATGGAATCACCAAAGAAATTCTTCAGATCAGATAACTATATCATATAGCAGTCATATAAACTGAACGATCGGAATCAAGTTCTTATGAGTAATCTTTTGTATTTGTAAAGGGTATCAAAGCTTCGGTGCAACCGAAGTTAACGTTTTTTCTTGTTTAGATGATACTCAACACTTTCCATTTTGCTGGTGTGTCGTCAAATAACGTACCAGGAAATCACTAATATCTCCAAGAAACCACTCTAATAGTATTCCTTTCTGGTGGTGCAGCGCGGGATCCCGAGAACGCTTAGAATGTGCTGTGTCGTTTAAAGCATACCACATTCAAAAGGTAACGGTCAACACTGCAGAGGACTGTCATCTTGGACGATCATGTCTACTATCAGATGCCCGATTTCAATCCAACACGCATTCGCCGCTTGTACGTAAACTGTCGCCCTTTGGCCTCGTGTGAGGTTACAGCTTACTGAATACATGTAAGTAAATTATATTCTAGATGTTACATATAATTGAGCCCATATATGGCCATTATAATAACATATAAATATGAATAATTTAATCATAACTAGCCAATTTTGTAAATTTCTATGTTGTTTAGGTATATATACTTTATTTATTTGAATTTTTATTTAAAGTTGTTTCTTTTGTTGATTTTAGCACAAAATTTAAAGTGGAACATTTTTTCATATTAACCTAAAATCTTTTGTTTGGTTAGATGGAAATGTCATAAAATTTTAACTATCTATAAATCATATATACAAAGTTTAACAAAAAAAAAGAATGATAATGTAGTATCTATATAAATGTTAGCTAACAAAATGACTGCAAGAAAGAAAATGTTGTTTCTAATGTATATACGTATTAATGCTAATATTAGAAATCTATACAAGTATATACATATATTTGCTAATAATTAAAAGCTTTACTAAAATAATTACAAAAAGTTTGTAAAAATGGAAACGAAAAATAGAACCATAATGTTGGAAAAAAAAATTAAATAAATAAAAGTTAGATAAGAATTTCAATCGTTTTATTTATAAGGAATTAGAAAACCGATACATTAGGCAGTGGTAACCAATGAATAACCAAACAAATAACCTGTGAACCAGTTTTCTGTAGCATATAGGTAACCATAACAATAACCAAAGAAACTATTTTCAATAACAGATGATAATCAAACAAATAGCCAATGAAAAGGAATCTATTAACCAAATATTAACAGATAGTTATCCAAAATAGTTGGCAAAGTAGAGCAGTAAAATATATGTAGCATTTACGCAAAAGCAATGCGAGAGAGCGAGTAAGATAATCACAACGACGTGTAGTGAAAGAGGAGAAATAGTTACAAAATTCCCGAGGCTAGAACTTAAGTAACCTATCGACTAACTAATGCAATAAAAACTGATAACCTATCGATAACCATTAGCTAACTTTTACCCGTCTAACGGTTAAACTGTAACTGTTCCATTTGAACTCCCAGTTAGAAATAATTTAAAAAATAATAAGAACAATAATAAAATTATAATTTTGATACATGTACATTAGTACACAAATATATATGTATACAAGTATGTTATGTAAACAATAAATAATAGAAAGAATACAGTCCACTTAATGTCAAATGCAATGATAAGCAAAATAGTTATATTATTAAATAATATAAGACTTTACTCATAAAATGTGAAAATCATTGCCAATCGAAGAAAACACACACAAAAAAATATTTATGTTGCACATAGAATAGTAAACTAAATGCGTACACTTCAAAACAACCCTTTATTGTGCGACAATTTACAAAATATGCGTATACCAAACACTAATGCAATAAAAATATAATACATATTTACATATATGTACAAGTTAATTTTTTCTTCGCAGAGAAGTAACAAAAGGTTTTAGGTTTTTAACACCCTCCTTTATTAATATCAAATAGCAACTGAGCAATTAATTTTTACAACTACCCTGCATAGCTGCGTAGTTAAGTGGGCTTTTCACTTGATCGTTCGTAGTTTGTTGGTGCGACGATTGTGGTGACTTTTCTTTCCATGCCCGGTACAGGCTCTAGCTACAATGTTATGCTCTTCTGCCTTTGGCTGTATGTGTCCAGCCCCAAAATAAGAGTAAAAGCAATGCCAAAGAGTATTATTAGAGTGATGCTGTTGACCATTGAAAGTGTTTTTATATGTTGCAGCTGTCCCGTGATGTTTAAATGTAACACCTCCAGCGCTTGCAGTGATAATATCCTCAGTCGCTCAGTTTCTTTGCGTGTAAACTGTACAAGAGATCTCCTGGTTTCATAAGGGTTGGTTCTACATTGCTGAACCGTTTGTTTTTAATAAGCAGTCATCCGATAACTGGAGTTGGTGCCTTCTAGTTATACTCTCGCAACTTGTTGCTACAGAGTATAATAGTTTTGTTCACCTAACGGTTGTTTGTATCACCTAAAACTAATCGAGTTAGACATAGGGTTATATACAGTATATATAAATGATCAGGATGAAGAGACGAGTTGAAATCCGGGTGACTGTCTGTCCGTCCGCCTGTGCAAGCTGTAACTTGAGTAAATCTTTATGAAACTTGGTACACATGTTTCTTGGTACCGTAAGACGGTACTGCGGTCTTGGTATTGCAGATGGGCGTAATCGGACAACTGCCACGCCCACAAAACGCCATTAGTCAAAAACAAATAAATTGTTATAACTAAGCTCCACAACAAGATACAAGACTCTTATTTGGTATACAGGATCAAATATGGGAGGGGCATCTGCAGTTTAAATTTTTTTTTAAAGTGTGCGTGGTCTCGCCCCCAAATACGTTTAATGTGTATATCTCCTATGCCACTGAAGCTATAATAACAAAATTCAAACAACTGATTTTAGCATCTCTATCGACGGTGTGAAAATAAGTGACAACCCCGCCCACTCCCCATATAACGGTACTGTTAAAAACTACTAAAAGTGCGATAAATCAAGCACTAAACAAGCCAGAGACATTAAATTTAATCTCAGGAATGGTATGAGATGACTTTATAGGAACCGCATTCAAAATTAGTCAGTGGGCGTGGCACCGCCCACTTGTAGGTGAAAACCCATATCTTGGGATCTGCTTAACCGATTTCAACCAAATTTGGTATATAATACTATACTATAATAGGCTGAATACTTTCACGCCTATTTCCCATATAACATCATTTTAAATTCCATCTGATTTTTTCACTTCCTAGTATGCAAATCAAGCAACAATGAATTTATCGGCGTAAAGCTTTGCGTGAATAATAAGTTTAAAGTATGCCAACTTGTGACAAAAAAGTATCTAAATTGAATCAAAACTGTTCAAGCCCCTAGGTACTGAATATTTGGACCCCAGTGTATATAGTTGACTTTTTACCGAAAATATCGGTCAACATAGAACAAGGCGGCAAGATCCACAAAGAAATCTAAAACGAGTATACCATTTGACTTTGCGAGAGCATAAAATGTTCGGTTTCATCCGAACTTAGCTCTTCCTTGCTTGTTTTATGTAGTTTTGTGCTATTTCAGGTTATGTTGCCTTTATACCATATTTGTTTAGTAAAACTATCCTATATATATAAACTATATGAGTTTAAGTGTATAATTGTATTATTTTTGACTATTGCTTTTAGTATATCCTGGTATTCTATATCTTCTATATTTCGTATTTTAACAATATATAATAGTGAATTCTTATTGTGCAGAATTGAAACGTCAGAAATCTCCATGATTTCTTTGACTGAAAGAGGGGCACGTTGCCTTTTTTGAAAATATTCTCTATTTCAATTAATTACAGTGAATAAGTTTTTTGGTATTTTGATGAGTGACTTTTTTCTTGAGACATCTCATTATTTCAGACAATGTTGAATGAAATCTGTTCGTTCTGTTCGTTAATTGTGCTTTTGTATGGTGGTGTAGTGTAAATTTCTATACCTAGTTGCTCTAACATGAATTTTATTGATTAAGAATAAAAAGATTTTTCGTTGTTCATTACAATATGCTTAGGGACTTGATTGATTACGGATTGAAGTTTCTATAAGCTCTGGATTAGGAGATTATTTGGATTCTTTGCAGATTTTGCAGTCCTTAACTATGTATGTGATCTTTTGCTTCATTTTAGGGAAATAAAACGTTTCTGATATTTCTTTTTTGATTTCTAAAGCGTTCCGATGAGCTCTTTTACGGGTTGTTAGAATTTCTTTTTATTGTTTTGTTTCGTTACTCAAGTCTTCGACCCTAGATTGTGGGAATCGTTGCTTTAGTGGTTCCAAAATGGCTTCGATAAAATTATTGCATTTTTCCCATAATGTTTTCGGTTGTATAAATTCCGTTTATAACCTAAGGGTTAACATATTTTTTAGGTAAGCTATTAGTTCGTCTGAAGTGTATTCTTGTCCGTGTATATATGTTTACAGTAAGTGAGAAATGTAATGGTAAATTCGTAGCCTTTCATGTAAGATATGAAATCCGGACTAGAGCTTTGAGCGTTATGCTGTGTAGAAACAATGGAATTGATTTGTTCTGTTGGTATGCTTGAGAGTGCGTCGGCTACTACATTTTATATTTGAGTAAAAACGCGTCAAGTGGACCCCCCAACAAAGGAATATCTCGAGACATTCGTAA